TGCATTTGCTATAAGATATCCAAAGGGAGTAGATCTCTGATGCAACATTCTGGGACTGATGGCCACTAAATACCTAATGCGTTTGCTATAAGATATCCACAGGGAGTAGATCTCTGATGCAACATTCTGGGACTGATGGCCACTAAATACCTAATGCATGTGCTATAAGATATGCACAGGAAGTAGATCTCTGATGCAACATTCTGGGACTGATGGCCACTAAATACCTAATGTGTGTGCTATAAGATATCCACAGGGAGAAGATCTCTGATGCAACATTCTGGGACTGATGGCCACTAAATACCTAATGTGTGTGCTATAAGATATCCACAGGGAATAGATCTCTGATGCAACATTCTGGGACTGATGACTACTAAAGCTCCTATGCTGGAAACTAAGTTGCTGCTTCTTTTGATAATGTACGAACCATCAACAACAACAATTCTGATCATTTATAAACACTGTTTGGGAAAGTAGCTTTGTGTGATTTGAAATGAAGGCCTCTTTCCATATATGCTGAAACACAAAGTAATATGACACAACATTATTCATATAATCCTTTTTGAAACTCATGACTGTTCATGTAACTGAGATGACATCACTAACCTGGAAGAAGCAGCACAGTACACGTGCTTTGAGGATGACGCTGTATGAAGTAAGTGGCTGTCAAACAAGTGGCAACATGATGAAAATGCTCTGTCGTTTTCACTGAGATTGTAATGGTTGTCATTACCTAAAGTTTGTGTAATTCACCTTACTAGTGATATTTTTCAGATATGTGACTCTGACAACAACCATATTTGGTATATAATACTGCCTAAATTTAGGAACACATACTGCTATATACTGTTAATTATACTAATCACATAGTCTCTCTCTCTTAATACAGCATAATAAATACTTGTTGTGAGAGGTACTTGTTATCATGAACCATGGTAGTGGTTCATAAAAGGGATCACCCATTTGTTCTTCTTCGTTATTATTTAATACTGTTCTGCCAGCCTACAACAAAAATGGCTGTGAGTATTGTAATAAAACCTTGGCAATATTACTAAATGCATCATTGCACATTGTGTAAGGTAATACTTAAATTTATTTGATTACCAAGCAAATAACAGTGGCTGTATAGCTGTTGACACCCATTCATTTTAATGTAATACTTGGAGCTTCATAATCTGATATATTCATATACAGCTGCATGCCAGCCATAGATGTAATTTAATGTCTATATGGCAGGCATGACACATGTACCATAGCAATTATTAACTTATTGTTGCAACTGTATTGATGTTATGTATCATTTGCAGATATTGTAGATACAGTAACCATCTTTCAAGCTGACAATAAGGAGTGGCAGAAATTATACAAGGAGATGACGATTCTAGGCAAAAGGGAGGCAGAAATTCTGTAGGTATATATTTTATTTAGTTTCAGACAAAGTAAGCAACAGAGATGGCCCACCGGAGTTTAGGGTCGTCACAGTGGACGAGGGTTGTAGAAGTGTCACAGCCCAAACTCCATCAGAAATAAAAGGGGGAAAAAATATGTTAATTTAAACAATTTACAATCATTAATTAATGTGTTTTTGACCTTGTAGAGTGTGTAGAATGTCACTCTAAGAGGAAATCTGGCCAGCTGCAACAAAACCATGACTGGCCTTACTACGACTAGCACAGAGGAGGGGTAGGAAAAGGAAGAGGGAAATACAAGAATTATGAGAAATATTAAAAATGCTTATTTGTATACATATACTACTATGACATATTGTCTTATACTTGCACTGAATACATATGTATGCATCTATACAACTTGAAAAATTCATATGGCTATCTATATATACAGCTATATATATACAGCTTCACAACTTTAAAAACTATAAAGCCTGCATGTTCATATTATATATATATGTGTTTGTGTGTGTGTGTATATATATATATATACACACACATAAACTATCCAACACGCATTACATGTGAATGCATGTATGAAACACTTGCAGTTACAAAATCCAGTTCATGCACCATTCCAGTATAGTTCAGTAGTCCCTCCATTCCAGTGTTTACAGACTCCTCATACAGTTACAGGGTATAAATATAATGGCTATGTATACATTTTACAAGCATATACATAACTTGTGGTATGTTGATCACCATGCACCATAGTGAGCATACATACAGTACCACTATCAGTGATATCAGGAGCAATAGCCATTCATTCTGCATAAGCCAATCCAAAGGTTGTTATTGATTCCTGACAGAGCATCATACACCAACAACATATTTCATTACACTAATCTCTTTCAAATAGAACAGTATTACTATTTATGTCCAAGATGAACATAAAAAACTACAGAAAAAAGATTATTAAAAATTGTTAATTTAAAAAGGGAGAATAGAAATCTTCAAAAAATTACAGAAACAAGACAGGTAGCTTAAAGTGTAAATTCAATCAAAAAAAAAGTAAACAAACAAGCTTAAGGTTTGAGACATTGTGTTGACTTTATTTCCTCAAGCTACAAATCCATATTTTGACTCTCCTAAATATTACAGCTTTCATACATGGAGTCAAAATATGGATTTGTAGCTTGAAGAAATAATGTCAACACTATGTCTCAATTTCTGAATTTTTTGAAGATCCCTATTCTTCCCTTTCTAAATTAACAATTTTTGACAATCTTTTAGTTATGAGCAATTTGATACATTTTGGGTTGAATGTAGAAAACCATACAAATCTATCAACACTTGACTCTCAGTAGATATCCCTCTTTTCCAATATTCTGATTTTACAAAATGCCAATCTGCATATACAGCACACAATGATTTCTGTTGACGTTTTTCCACTTGTATACATCTGAATTCCTTCAGCCAAAACTACAACCTTGTGTTATGCTCACAGATGTTTTATATAACATATACTTGGCCTTAAGAGAATAAGTTTTTTATTCCTTAATTCATTTTTATGGTATTTTCCCAATGCTTTCCAGTGCTTATAGATCCTTTCACAGCTGTGAATAATTCCAACCACCAACAGATGTGCAACCTTTGTCTGTTGATGAAATATGTCTTGCACCTTCCAAAGACAACTACACAATTTTTCCTTCACAGCATGAATTATACCTCACTTGTCTCATTTCCAAGAGGAAAAACAGCAACAATTCCACATTACAATTACCAAAAAAGGATGTGACCACTCCTTTGCAAAAATGTCACTAAGACTTAGGGGTTGAGAGCTGTTTTTTATTTATAAACTGCAATGTCATTTTAATAAATACATTTGGAGAAGATCACATTGACTGATACCTGATCATAAATTTTATTGTTACACAAATTGTATTTTTCAGTTTAGAATATAACATTTTTTGACAAGGAAAATACAAAATTCAGAAACTGAGTGAAAATTTGAGTTTCAATGAATGATGTTTCCCAAGAGGAAACTGATGATTATACTTCAGAGAAACAAGTAAAAACTTTTCAATTTCATTTCTTTTGAATTTCTAGAAACCAATTTCTGATAAGGGTTGGAGGTTTTTTTTCTATTTTTATATGCAAATTACACCAAGTAAGTGTTAGAAAATGATAAAATACAAATTCCAAAATATTTTTGAGTCAAAAATTGTTAGAGTTAAAGTTATTTTTTTTTACTTGAACTTTGAAATTTGATATGCATATGTGCAACTGACTCCTGAAAGGTGCTCACTAGCTTGGATAGGGTTAAGCAAATTCAATTATAAATACACATCTGATACTAAGTCTAGTCAGAAATGGAGAAAAGACAAAATATACTATACATAATAGTTGCGGCTAGAAAGGTCACACAAAGTAATGAAATCTTTTGCTCAAGATATATTTATTATTACATATACCAAACAGAAATATTTTTTTAAATTATAAAATTCAAATACATACCATTTCCAGAAACATAGTACTTGTTATATGTTCTGATTCATCAGAAAAAGCTGGTGGTAACTAGTTTCAGTTTGGCACAACCTGTAACACCATAAAAACAAAAATCACTGTTAATGACACAAAAATAATCAACTAATCAAAATTAGTGTTTTGGATTATTACTGATTTTGAGGATACATAAACATTAACTAATCAGAATTAGTGCTTTCAATTATTACTATGATTAAATATTCTAACTACCCAAATCTCATGAAAGAATAATCAATAAGTTAAAAGTAATTAATTAATAAGCCCAATAGTATTCATTTACAGTGATGTCATTGTGAATCAAGATTGGTGGCTACTTGGTTGCCTGTCACCTATCAGCTTTGTTTTTGAAGATAGCTTGAAGCAAAAAATGGTGACTGCATATATGTCAGAGTGCCAAACACATGTTGAATGGAACTTGCTCTATATTTTGTAATGCAAACATATCACATATAATAAATTATGGAAACTCTAGAGTGACATAAAAGATTCTAACCAGAATGGTCCCAAACCTTAGAATTGGAAACAAAATTGTGAGTAATGATGAAGATGGTGAAAAAAAAATCATTGATAACCAGCAATTTTTTCCCATGATATGCAGTAGCAAATTGCCCGCTTTTAATGACATCAGTGGATTAGCAAATTCCACTAACCAACCAACTCTATTACAAGAATACAATTTTTGAAAATAGACTCCAGCAAAAGAAAAAATAAAAGCAAGAACGAGGGAACAAATAAAACAAAATATTTATTCGCAATCATCGTGTTTATAGAAGTTTGAACTTACTGGCCAGCTGTTCAAACTTGCTGCTGTGACTGGAAAGGCTCTCTATACATCTAAACAGGACAGAGACAGTAAGAATTACCCTACTTTATTCTGATCTTTCAAAATAGGTAATGGGTTCAAGTTTGGCATAACATAATCCCTAGCTTCATACACCACTGACTGTTCCAAACACCATACAGGAGAGAAAACCACTCATACATACTAATTTTAGGCATTTAAAAAAAAAAAGGCCATAACTGAATTTTATCAGGGATACTGCCAAGATTTAACTGTTGGGGATGAAATTATAAGTAGATCATTAGGGTTTAATGCTAGGTTTAGATTAGCATGTAAGGATGAACAGATTGGCTGATTGGACTTTTGAGATAATTTATGTGGTGGAACTTTATGGAATGGATGGTTTACATTTAAACAGAGTAGAGGTTGGCCTGTTTGGAAAAGGTATTAACTCAACTGTAAGGACAACTTTAAACTAGGATAAGACAGTGCTGACAGCCAGAGTTATGAAGAAAAAATTAAATATAAAGAAAAGCACAGTGTAGGAAAAAAGTATAAGAGTAATTTTAAGGGTAGGTTAACTGTTAATACTGTATGCTGGAAGTATAAAAATAAAACACGACTTTAAAGCACTAGTTGGGGCAGAGAATTTAGATGACAGAAATTTCTTTGAAATACAGTGTTAAGTTAGGAAGACTACTAAAAAAGTGAGAGGAGTGGCTTTATAACACAACTTTAAAGGGCATCTAAGCTGTCCTATCAAAATTGTTTGAAATTTGACAGGAACTTTCCTAAAGGCATGTAGTTTCAGAAAAATTAAATACTTTTAGTTTTTGTGTATGATTAGTTTTGAAATCTTGGAAAATTACATCAGGAAATGGTTTTTATAAGAAATAATTAAATACTTTCATTTGTTTCAGATCTGAGCTTCTTATTTTTATGTTTTAGCACGTTATTCTAAAGAGTTCTAAAAATATTTTATCATTCCATAAAGTCTACATTTTTGTCAATTTTTTAGTTTTCATAATCACATTAACAATTATTACACAAGAACAAAAGTAATATTTCTTAAACAATAAGCAAGTCTGCATTTTTAATTCCTATTTAGGATTTCACATGCATACATTCTACAAATTTTAGAATTGCTTTGTATGTTTATCTTTATTTCAAACTTGTATTTGACTGTGCCCTAAGTAGGTCTATTGTGCCGAGAAAATAACAATATCAACAACATGAATAAGTGCTGGAAGCATATATAAAGCATCTTTCTTCCCACTGACTCAGTACAAAAGGATTTGAGTGTTACTGTAGAAGAGATAGCAAGAAAAGTACACGTATGTTCTTGTGTGTTACAGTATTTGAATTCATGTTTTTACTTGACCTTTCAAACAAGTTAATTTTAACACATAATCTGATATGCATCTTCCGATGCAAAGTATAACTTTTACTACTAGTAGTACTATAGTATAGCAAAAATATTGCAAAGTCACAATACAAGAAATTCGGGTAAGAACAGTCTATGCTCTAAGCTATATGATATGTATTGTAAGAGATCACCAGGTTAAACAGATACCCCATAATATACAAAGAACGTGACTTTACAGCAACTAACAACATTTGTTCAGGTCACGTATTGCTCATTATAACAGTCTAAAGACAAAAAATGTTGGAATTAGAAACCCACACTTTCTTCTTATGTACTGTCTTCTTTTATGTGCCTTTCCATGCTTCAACTTTTCTTTTATGTGAATGTGTTTAATAAACACAGCCTAAATAATGTATTTACTTGTTTTCATATAAACTCTAAGTTTCAAGTGTATCCTGGGCTCCCAAGTGAACAAGAACTCACTTTAGTTGCTAGGAAAAAGCTTGTTGTACGAGACGACTAAAAACTTCCTCGTACGACCAACTTAAATCCCTGTGTTTTCCAAAGGACGATTGGTGCCCTTGTACGGAGAAGAGCATGTTATCCACATGTCTCAGTACTTGAAATCTCAGCTTTGGTAAGATGCACTTTTATGCAGAAATGAAAATAGCACATTTTTCATAAATATTCACATAAGTTATCTTGCTTATGATGAATAGTTTAAACAAGATTCCTTCATCACAATTACTTTTCAGTACATTTCATGATCTTGTGTTTAGGTCTATACACATGCAACAAAAATAAACATGGAGTGATAGCTTACAGTAAAATATGATATCATGTAAAAATCGCATACAATTTTATGTATAAACTGAAGAAACTGTTTATATGTACTGGTGCTACCCGGCACCCAAAGTAATTTTTTTTGCTTATCAATTCCCCAGGATAGCAATAACTAATAAAATATTTTATTCTGCATAGAGAACATCATTTTATATGGTTTTATTGGATGGAGTTTTCTAACAGTCTTGTAAGGTAAGATTACTTTCAATTTCTACACATTTGGTCTATATTTTGTAACGACATACTTGTTTCTGCTACACAATGTAAGAATCCAATCATTATGGATATTTATCTTTCAGATATTATTTACTACAATTTATGTTTTATACAGACTATACATTATTGGAGTGTAGCTATTGATACATATTATATATGCTGTCTAAATATTTTTAACTGTGACAAATACAGTTAACAGTAAACTGTAGGTATTTGAAATTTTTAAAAGCATGTATTCTCATAACTTTTAAGTTTAAACATATTAATGAAAATATATGCAATAGCTCAAATGTATATGCATACCATGTTGCTTTATAAATTATGGGAACAGAATATTAATAACATATATTAAAATTTTCCTAGATGGTCTCTAAAAATCTAATGGATTCACTTAAAAAAACAGTGAGATCTGTGTGAATGAAGTGTTGCTCCTACTTTTTGCTACCTCATCTGAAGAAGAGTTTCTTTTGTTTGAATCAGAGAAGGAAATCGTGAGATCAACTCAAGTGGACCCAGATGAACCAACCTAAATGAATTCACTGCTGTTGGAGGAGACTGACCTACCTAAATGGGAAGAAGATTCTCCATCTCACCCACAATAAGCTGATGATATCATTACTGGTCCTCTTACAACAAGCACTGTAGTCACTTCCACAATGGCTAGAGACAAGAAAACACAAAAAATCCTCTGCCCAATAGTGTAGAGTAGAAATGGAAGCTTCTCAAAGATGAGCAGTCTAAGTTGTTAAGGGATTTCATCCATGGAGAACCTGTGTCCCATCAAGCTAACAAACAGATTTGCTCACCAGCAAGTGGAACACCTAAATATTGATGCCAAAAAGAAAATAATAATGCTAAATAAGTGAAGTTACTCCCGAAGAAATTTTAGCTTTTCTTGGTGATATTATTGATATGAACATAGCTCACTTTCCATCTCTTTGGGAATATTTGTCTACTATTCCTTCACTTTATCCAAGCTGGGGTTCTTTGATATTTTCCACGGTAAAATTCATCACTATCATTCAAAATGACAATGCTAATAATCTACCTAAAACTAATACTAAGCACGATAAACTCTTCTAAGTCAGGCATGTGCTTGATTACCTACTAACAATTTTTCCATTTCACTGTAACCCTTCTAGGAAACAATCTATTGATAAGTAATTAAATACTGGGAAAAAAAGGGTAGAATTTCATTTCAACAATATCTACCTAACAAGCCTACCAAGTCTGGGTTCATATTCTAAACTTTAGAGTATGTTCTGGTAAATAGGGATCTGTACCTTCTAAGGGGTTAGCTGACACAGTTGTACCAGTTCTTATGAAAAAGTATCTTAGTATCTTTATTGATAATTTTATACTTCTCCAAGCATGTTTGATAAGTTACTTGCACTTGGCACTTATGCTTGTGACACCTGTAGAAAGAACAGGACCAATTTCCAGATATGGTCTCAGGTAAATTAAAAATAGGAGTAGCAGTTTTTCAGCCATGATTCATTGACTGCTCTGAAGTGGCATGACAAAAATTTGATCATTTTAGTTCCTACCGAAAGTTTATCGGTAACTAGTTGAGACAGCCATGCTACTTTTACTATCGTAAGCATCTATACTAGAAATTAATCTCACTAAGTATTTGTGTTATCAGCATTTGTTTTTTGTTGCAATTTCTGCCCGCCCATATATATATATATATATGCATACAAATATTGCACCATACTAAGTATGGTAACTAACTGAGCTGTACACACTGTACTGTGTTACCATACCCTAGCCATTCGCACTCAGTTGAACTCCATACAAAATTTACAGGGTTGCAGCCTATCCACTATACAAAGTTTAGTGACTAGAACAGCATTATTAGCCAATCACAAAAGCAAACTTTTCCTAATGTTTTCAGCATCTTTTGGTGGATTGCACCAACATTTCTGTTGTATAAAATACAATCTTTTTTTTTAAAAAAAATGATCAAAAGACATTTTTTTGGGGGTTCAAATTTTCGAGTTCATAGTTAGGGAACTTACTGATGATGTTGGTCGAGGATCAGAGTAAACATTACAAGTGTAGTATGAGCATGAATAAGTGTACAGTAGACTGCAATGCTGTTTTAAATAAGGGTCTGTTCCAGGGCACCAATCGTTCTTCGGAAAACACAGGGATTTAAGTTGGTTGTACGAGGAAGTTTTTTAGTCGTCTCGTACAATTATTAAAATTAAGCCCTGTAATCATAATTATTATAAGCTGGTATTTTGACAAAAAGATATTTAACTATGCATATGTCTTTGAAAAACATGCAGAATCAATTTTTTGTGCACCTTGAATATAATTCTTATTTATTATACACTACAGTGCTCAGTTTTCAGTGTTTTAGTTTCTGCTCAAGATCTATGTACAAAGTTTGCAATATTTGTCTAAACAGTAAGCAACTTCATAGTTCATATGTAAGCTACTCAGTTTGGTTTCAGCTATAAAGTTTTCAGTGTACATCTATCTGAAAAATGTAGAGCTAATGATATGTGCTTATTTATTCATCTCAAACAGCTTTTTTTTTGTAACAATGTTATACTAGTTTCTTTTTTGCATCTACTCGTGATTATATGAAACTGTATGTAAAGTTTACCATGTATAACTTAACTGTTTGTATACAAGTTCTTCCTAGTTTAGTTTTGATTGTTTTTCCATTACAAGATAGCTGATAAATTTTGAATTTGGTAACAATGTTGAACTGCAGTGTTAATTTCTTTTGCTTTCTACTCATGACTTGTACTAAACTGTATAAAGTATATTTATTTACAAAGCAGGTTTATTCATTTATTCTACTTACACTTAAAAGTTTTACTACTCAGTGCTTAGTATTTGTGCTCCTCATTGATGCTCTTGTTTATTTATCTTATTTTGTAACTTCTGCATATAATTTTTACGTATTTTCAATTTCTGCAAAATATCAAAATAAATTAATTGTTACTTTATGTTAGTCTTGTTTTAACTTGAACAGAAAAAGTGAAGGTATTAAGAGTACAGAGTAAATATACTGAGAAGGAGAAAAAAAAATAGTAATAGTAGTATTTAAATATGAATAATCAGCACTCGTGTATCAATTAAAATGTAATAAGTAATTAAAATCAACATTTTATATTTATACAACCTTAAAAACTTCAAAGCACTTTAAAAGCACACTATACGTGTACACGTTTCGATGTTCTGTACATCGTCTTTGGGAGTTATTTACAAGACAATAATTTATACTTTTTTCTTATGTCATGTGATATTACATTGCATTGTTACTTACATAATCCCTGCACTGACTTGATGGCCCTTCACTCCTGTTTAATACTTCTTTTTATTTTTACATTTTATGATTTCTAATGATTCTCTGACATTTAAAGCTGTAATATTGTGACGCTGAGCTAAAATTGTAGTTCTTTCCCATAAAATTGTGTGTTCTGTTGTTTTTACGTGTTCCGCTACAACCAAGTTTTCTATTTTATTATTTCTTACATAACCTTTATGTTCCTATATGTTTATTTTAAATTCCTTTTAGTTTGACCTATATAAATACTCCCACAATCTATGTTGTAAATCCTGGTTTTATCTTTCAATTACATTTTATCTTTAGTATTCCCTTACATTTCTTCAATCTTATTTATAGGTTTAAAGATAGGATACAAATTTTGTTGCTTTTTAAAAGCTTTAAATAATTGATCTTTTTAATCCTGGATTATAAGGTAAACTTAAAGTTTTTTTAGTTTTTTATAAATAGATCTCAACATTGTATTTTTAACTAACATAAAACTTTTGTTAGATTTCTTAAATGCTCTATGTACTATATTTGGTTCAAATCCTCTTTCAATAGCTACATACTTAATTAGTAACAGTTTGTGACTTAAATTTTCCTGTCTTGTACATATTTTTCAAGCTCTGTAAACATATGTATAACATGCAGGAATAATGTCATATAAAAATGCAAAAAATAACTAAGACCCATAATACTGTCTTGTGAATCATTTAAATACAACCTATATATATATATATATCGTGGCCATTTTCCACATATGTAATATCTGTAAGACCCTTTTTCAAAGACACCTTCAACTTTACAATCATAATTGATTAATTACACTATAAAGACTTAATAGCCTGCTCCAATGCAGTCACCAAAGTTTGTAACATAGTTTAAGAACTTTACATCAAAGACCCCAACCCACTGATACACATCCTCATCAACCAACTAGCAGCTATTTTAGAATCTACTATCTAAAAAACTAATTTTATGTTCAACAACCAAAACTACATAAAAAAATGGTTTAAGCATAAGCTAACATTTTTATGACACAGATTGAGTCTCAAGCTATTAATTCAGCTATACACCCACCATTACACTAGTACAAATATGTATATGATACATTTGTCAGTCACATTTACAGAACACACACACACAGTTTTTTCGACCAAATTAAATCTACACACCCAAATATTAATTTCACCAGTATATATGAAAAAAGATAATCACTAACATTTCTGAACATTCATATATCAAGAACAGATACATAGTTTAACCCTTTTACTACAAAAGTCAACTGTCAATTGAACCTTTATTAGTGTTAAGTGCAGAAATTGGCTTTCCTCCATGGCAGCCAAAAATTTCCCTCTTTACTGCAAGTCCATAGTTCTCCTCTAGTCTTGAAATGACCATCAAACATCCCTAGGTGCTGCCATCTGTGAGCAGCATCAGTAACCATAAACATAAACAAGACTCGTTTCATCCACCCATGCTGCCTACAACTAGTAACAGGCAGTTGTAAACCATTTAGTCAATCAATAAATTGACTAATCATTCAACTTTGTTGAATAATTCATTAGAGACAAAGATATGCTTTATTTACTTATTAAAAAATATTACTTGTTTATTTATTGAATAAACAGTTAAATGACTGCCAATCACTAGCCTACACCCCAGCTTTGCATACATTTTTACTGTATTTTACACACACGTTTTTGCATTGCACTTAATTGCAAAAGTAAAAATGAAAACTTCATCTCTATATAATTTTGCTTTTTTCTACATGGTGTCAAGCCAGTTGATGCAAATAAATTTTATTATATATGTAATTTTCCGTCAATATTGACATACATACATATATATATATATATATATACTTATAGTACAATATTTTTAGGAGTTACTATTATATTTTATATGTATAATGCAATTTCATGCTTTCGAAATACATTTGGCTTTTTCTTGAATAACTTTAGTCAATTTTGCTGTCATATCTTGCAAAACCCTTTTCAATAAATTTTGCATATTTCCTTGTAGAAAATCTAAATTTCCATTATTGAATACCGTTTTCAAGAAAATTTAATGTCAGATGTAGAAACTTTATGGTCATTTCAAGTTCGAAAAGTAATAAAAGAGGTCAAATTAAAAACTTTATTTTTTTGATGGAGAATTAACAACTTTTGTGGAATGTCCATGAAATCTAATTACACAGTGAAAGGGTTAAAACAAAAATCCAAAGAAAAATCACTCACACTTGACTGTACATTGTCTAGAACTTGGCATATGAAACAAAGTGAAAACTCAAAATACTAATAAATCTAATAAACACAGCCAAAAAACTTTGCTCACCTGACAACCTTAATGATAAAGTCAACCAATTAAAACAACACCTCATTAATGTGAATAACTTTCCTCTAAAAACTGTCAAAAGAATATACACAGACACTTCAACCAACAACACAAAATTCAAAGAAACAACAAAACACTACACCACTGTATACCTTCATCCCAGATATAAGCAACAAAATAACTAACATAATACTG